AGGTCCAGATGTCCCCATAATGGGCTACAAGGACTCTACAAGGAAGACTACATATGGCCTGGTCATTAAAGTGTTCGACTAGTCTTAAAATGTGCTGGGTTTCCAGTGACTATCTTTTAGCCTAGTTTATTTCATGGTGGATTTAGGGAAACAATGAACATTGTCCCAAGCCACTTGACGGAAAGAAGGAACATGATAGTAAGTAAGCTGTAGTTTATGCCACTGGTTCTTAACCTTGGGTTACTCAGGAGTTTTGGACTGCAACTCCCAGAAGCCTTCACCACCAACTGTGCTGGCTGGGGTTTCTGGGAGTTGCAGTTCAAAAACATCCGAGTAACAAAGGTTAAGAACCACTGGTTTATGCCTTTGTACTAGGCTGGCCTTCCAATTAAAGCAAAGTGAGGTAACGATCTCAGGCAGCAGATTTTAGAGGTTATGAAACAGTAGACATTTGCCAGGGGTGTTTTTGTTTTGTTTTTTGTTGTTGTTGTTTGTTTTTTAAAGTTTATTTTTCATGGCTTTCTACTGTTTCTACTGCCGGGGAAGGGAAGTTTATTTTATTTTATTGCCTCAACTGTCCAAATAAATTATTTGACTTTCAGTAATATGCACCCTGACTTTGGCAAATGAGGCAGAAATATGTCTGGGGTATCTCTGTTTCCCTGTATCTATATGGAAAGTGAACCATCATCCTCCTTTCAGGATCTGGTGAACTTCATCTTGGTGGTGCTGTTGAGGTCCCCAGGTTCTTCATTTTCAATGACTTAAAAATCCATGCTGAGACTGAGGTTTCTGGGCCAGCTCTTGAGTTCTTGGAAACTATTGCTTCCTTGAATATGTCCCAATTTGTCAACAGCCCTGCCCACATGGTGGACCACACGCTGGATCTATTTTTTTTTCAACAAGGCAAGGAGATGGCAGCTTAAGGGTGACTGACCTGGTGTCTGTCCCCTTGTCATGGTTAGACCACCACCTGATAAAATTCACTCTTTCAGTTGCTCTTCTACCCTCCACGGGGAGATGTGCCCCCATTAAGATGGTCCGTCCTAGCAGGTTACTGGGATCCAATTCGTTTCCAGGATGCAATGGGAAGGATACCGGCTGATACCAGTTGGCACACCTGTCAAAGGTCAGGTTGCCGGATGGTATGCCGTAGTGACCCAGGCAGCTGACATGATCACACCCAAACACTCTCTCTGCTTCCAAGCCCATCCTGCCCCATGATACTCTCAAGAACGACAGGTGATGAAGTGAAATAGGAGAAGGCGAGGGAGCATTTGAAAGTGGCCCTCAACAGTACTTAAATTCAGAGCCGCAAAAATCGTGACCAATATCTACTCAGCAGCTTGCCCAAAGCCATGCAGGCATTGAGTTAGGTATCTGGCACCAGAGCCAGAAGTTGGGGATTCAATACCCTACTGTTCATATCAGAACAGCCAGCCTATGTGGCCTTGGCAAGCTGCACAGTCCCAGAGCGCCCCCAGAAGAATGGAATGATAAGCTACTCCTGACTCCTCTCTGGCTAGGAACCCCTTAAACCACTGGCTTAGATGGTTATGAAAACATTGAATATCCACAAATGTGGAAGGGATCCTAAACCAGAAGTGGATCAATTATCACTCACATGCTACATGCATTCTCCAGGGACCCAGCTCCTGCTGCCAACACCAATGCCCCGGGGGCCCCAAACACCCCATCTTAATTTTTAAAAATATATTTTTTTATAAAACAGAGAGCTTAGACTGCTCTTACATGGATTGGATCTACAGTAAGTCACCTTCAGTTGAAGGATCCTAAACCAGAAGTGGATCAATTATCACTCACATGCTACATGCATTCTCCAGGGACCCAGCTCCTGCTGCCAACACCAATGCCCCGGGGGCCCCAAACACCCCATCTTAATTTTTAAAAATATATTTTTTTATAAAACAGAGAGCTTAGACTGCTCTTACATGGATTGGATCTACAGTAAGTCACCTTCAGTTGAATCTATATCATATTTTCAACAGTTAGTTATCTAACTATTACTTCTTTAATAGATCCAATGGAAGAAGCTATGACCTTGAGTTCTCAAGAGCTGTAAATGATAGGATTTTTGAGGAGGTTTCTAACTCATGAGGTTGCCATAAGTGAGAAGCAATTTGACAGCACATAACAACAACAAAAAATAACTTTGAACACTCCAGCATTGAATGGAAGTTCTTTATCCATATGATACTGTATATCCTTGGAGACGAAGGAATTGAAGGAAGGTTCTAAGTATGAGGACAGGGCAGAAGATAAGCATGGGTGGTGAAATTTCTGCTGCTGGAATAGGTGATCCTGCTTTATCTGTGTAATGGAGATATGGTAAGGCGCAATTGGCATGCTCCTAAGTGTCCTCTCTCAGAATGCACAGCTCAAGACGCATTGTTTTCTGGAAACTTAATGCAATAAAGTACCTGGCTTGAATGGTTAGAGTGATAGTGGAGAAAATTCTTAACTTAGTTAAACAGAGACTCAAGATCATAGTAGATCTTCACTGGCAGAAGGGGCAGTAAAGAATTCTCAACTCCCATTCTATCAACATAGTACTATTTAATGGAGTTATTCCAGTAGCAAAGGTACTATTACACTCTGCTCATTTTGAATGGTAAGAAACTGTCTGAAGCACAAGAAATGCCAAAGAGGACCTGGCTAAATAGGTGCTGGAAATTATAAACCAAAGAAAGCCATATGTGGAATTCTCTAAAGGAGTCTCTGGTATGATCTTTATAGAAAAGGCTCTATTGACTCCCACCACCCTTGATAATTAACATTCTTCAGACTTCCTTTTTGGATAAATTTGGGGTCAAGTAACTTTAAGTTTTCCTCCATGAGAGGCACTGTCTTGATCGTTCTTAGTCCAAGTTCAGATTTAGTTTAAGTTTTTGTTTTTTAAATAGAAACATCCTTGGCTACCCTGGGAAATAACCTATGCTAAAATCTAGACAGGAAAAATGTTGGTCCTGATAGTCTTCACAATGATATCTGATAGTCTTCACAATGATATCTGATACCATGGTATCCTTCTGTAATGTCCTTGTTTTGGGATTTCAGTGCATCATGTTGATGCATTCCCAGAAGGTGGCATTAAGCCACTGCTGTTTCATTGTCTGGTCTAAGCATTTACTTAGTGCACTGTTCCCTCCACCCACTCACACATCGCAACCACGTATGCTTTCTAACATCCATGTGAAGCCACTAGGAAAAGTTATTCAGGGATTTACAGTAGGATTACATCTCGCTGATATGTCCATCCTGCTCAGCATTATTTTTCAATTGATCACAAGGAACCTGGCAATGTTCTGAGCAGTTGTCTGGTTACAGTGGGGCTTTGGATGTAGGTGAATAAGCTGAATTTCAACTCAGAGATTCAAACATGCTTCCTCCTTCCCACGTTAATATTGTCAGAATGTGCATTGTCTTCTGAGACTCTGTTAGACGTCCTACATTTTAAAAAGGATTGGCTGGTGAGGGATTGAGACAAATCTATGTAAAAGCAAGGGGTGGCTGTACATTAAAGTTAATTTGCGTAATCTCCAAGTAAGTTGGTGGAAAAAGTTATTGAAGATAAAATTGTCAAGCATATAGAAAGAGAAACCTTGCTAAAAAGTAAACATCACTTTTGGAAAGAAAAAAAACATAGTTGTGTGGTCCTTGCACAATACAAATGCAGCAATAGGTGATATCTTTGCAAAAGTAATTCCTAATTTTTTAGAGGTCGTTGAAAGTGTCATATGGTATCCCAATGTGGCCAATGCGGAAGGGAAGCATCTCATTGTCTTTACATGGGCTTCCAAAATGCTTTGGCCAAGTCTCTCATCAAAGACACCTAAGGAACCTTAACAGTTATGGAAGTGGGGAGTGGTTCAAGAACATGAAAACGGAGACAGTAAAAATAAGAGATCAGTTCTTACAATGGAGGGATCTGAGCAGTGAGGTCACTGAGTGATCTGTACTGGTACTAGCACTAGTAACTTGTGTTCATAAGTGACTTAAAGTGAAGGAACAATATTGTCCAAATTTGTTCACGATACCACATGATTTAAGGTGGTTAGAATAAGTAAATAAAGCTCCAAAATGATTTCTTTAGATTGTGGAATATATATTAGAACAGAAGCAAGTGTAAACCAATTCATATATCTCATAATTCTATATATATAAATTTCACTTATATACTCATGGGATCTGGCCAGTGTGTGCTTCTTGTAAAAAAGTAATGAAGCAAGATTCCACAGTGGGCAACATTAGAAAAGACTGAAACAAGTGCTCTATGAAACATTTTTAAAGCAAATTTAGTTGCCATTTGGCTGAAACAAATGTTGAGTAAGAGGAGAGACCACTGAGGTTTATAAAATCATGCACTTTGTGAAGAAAGTTACTGGAGAGAATCCTTTCTCCTTTTCTCATAATAATACCTACTGTCCTTAAAAGCTGAACAGCGGAAGATTTAGAACAGGTAGAAGGAAAAACGTCTTCACAACAGCACATCATTACATTGTCAAATTCACTGTACAAGAAGTAGTGATGGTTAACTTGGATGGCTTTAAAGGGAAGTGCTATCCTGCAGGGTTTTTCGATGTATTTCTAAAGGATGGGGCCCCTATGGCTACTAATCATGACAGATACATAGTTCCACCAATACCAGAGATAGTATCAGCTGCTGAGGAGCAAAAATAAGGGATACTTTTGCATTCATGTCTTCCTTGTGGATTCCTGCTGATGTCTATATTTTTATTCACCTTCTTTTATTGTGATTTGTGAGATATTTGCACTTAGCTTTTCCATGGTTTTATAACAAATCACTTAACACTCATGAGTGAAGGCATGATTCAGAAATACATTAAATAAACAAATAAGGAAATATCACCCTATCAGACTGGTATTTCTTAAAACCCATTATACTTACAGCAACACTGACAGTATATTGTCTTTCTTGTATCATTATTAATTAAGCATCTATAGTGATACAAACTTACTTGTTTTCATATCTGTTCTTTGTGCAGCAGATGGATTTGTAGGCTTTAGCACAGGCAGAGAAGATGTCTTGCCTATGACTTTGATGGTTATATTTATAGACAATTGAGTTTCCTCCATTTTGGCTGATGACCAGGTTCCATCTGCAGGGCTTTTGGTGAAGAACCTTTCATCAATAGGATTGGTATTTGGTGCTGGTGTAGTAAAATTTGTATGTATTTGGTCAATGTGAAATAATGGATTCATTGTCCAAGATGGTGGCTGCATTTTGTTGCCCATTGAAGTAACTATATTTGAACCACTTCCACTCATGTTTGGAGAAGGAATGTTAGGTATTTCAGTGTCTCCATTGGTGCCAAATAAGTCACTTCCATTTGAATAAAAGCATGTTTTTCCCAACACACCTGCACAGAAGGAAAATAATAGAGTATCATCAGACCATCTCCCAACATTGATTGACAAAGACAGACATTATACACATTACCTACTGAGATAGACATTTAGCATTAAGAATATATGGCACAAGAATATAAAAGGGTTTCATGGTGTATTAAACATTTATTTCTAGACATCACAAGAATATACAGCCATTCATTAAGTTGGGCATATATTATACTTTTTATAACTAGACCAGATAGGCGGGATATAAATAAAATAAATAATAAAAAAATAATAACTGTTTTTACCCAATAAAAAAGAGAATATTTAGGCTTAAAATGCAAAAATATACAAACAAATGTTCAAACATAAATAAATATGAAGTTGACTTCTTTCTGCCACACATTCAAATGTTGAAAAGGTTATGAGCATCCTCGGTCCATTGAGCAATGGGGGATGGACAAAAATCCTTCCAGTGTTGCAATACAAACCTTTTACCCTCTGTCTGCATGAGTATCATGCCTGTTTATGTTTTCATGTTGGTTCTGGTGGACCTCTCAGCAGCCTTCGATACCACCAACCTTGGTATCATTCCAGGCCACCTCTCTGGGATGGAATTTGGAGGCATTGTTTTACAACAGCTCTGGTTCTTACTGGAGGGGAGAATGTAAAAAGTGGTGCTGGGGGACTCTTGTTTGATTCTGTGGCAGTTGGCACTCCAAATTCTCTTTTGTTTCCCCCATGCCATTTAATATCTATGTGAAATTGCTGGGAAAGTTTGACCCGAGTTTTTCCATTTAATTCCAAGGAGACTGTCTCCATTCTACACTGGTGCCTGGTGTCAGTAATGGGCTGGATGTGGGCAAACACCACGAAACTTAATCTAGACAAGACAGATGTGCTCCTTTTCAATCAAAAGCCACATGGGAGAATAGGGATTTACCGTATGCTGGATGGGGCTATGCTCCCTCTGAAAAATGAGTTTTGGTGACGGCAGAAGTACAATTGCACAGTTAAAACTGATGTGTTAGCTGCACCCATTCCTTCAGATGTCTGATTTGCCTACAGTGATTCATTCCTTAGTTACATCCTACTTTGATTAGTCTAGTGCACTTTATGTATGGCTGCCTTTGAAGATGGTTCAAAATGTAGTTGCCAAACTATAGTGCCAGTTACAAGGAGCATACGATTCCCCTGCTACAACAGCTGCACTGATGTTTCTGGGTCCAATTCAAAGTGACCAAATTACCTGTAAAGCTTTGCATGGTTTAGATCTAGGCTCTGTATCTCCCCATAATGAGCCTTCATGGCCACTAAGATGTTCAGAGAAGGCCCTTCTCTCTTTCCTTTTACCACTGCAGTCACATTTGACAGAGCCACAAGAGAGGAGCTTCTCTGTGGCTGCTTCCAGGTTGTGGAATGCTCTCCCTTGGAAGACTAAGTTGACCTCCCCCTTGTCCTTTCATCAAGAGTTAAATATCTATGTCTTTAGGCAAACTTTTAATAACTATGATTGAGTCCCTGGAAGTTTGATCTTATACAAAGTATGTTTCTGAAGTTTTTTAAAAAAAATATTAATATATAATTAATTTTTTATTTTTGTAATTATTAATGTTTAATTATTTTTACCTTGTGATGTATTGTGTTTTAGTGTGACTTATTTCAACATCTTGAGCTGCCTTGGATCTCCTCCCCAGGAGAAAGGCAGCCTACTACTGAAACAAACTAACAAATACTTATTTCTAATATGATTTTCTTGCATAATAAAAAATGCTTTTTAAAATTCATAGGCATCCAATGTTATGTGGCAAGAAATGACTTTCCTTCCATAGTATCCGCTGGTTTAGTCTATTCCCTGCTTCCAGTCCAATCACTTATTATTCTATTTCGCCTATATACTCTGTCTTCCAAATAAAGAGAATAGGGATATGTTCTCTGTGTTTTCTCTTTCTCTGTCATTCTCTCCTTCTCTCTTGTACACCATTTTTAAAATTTCTTCGAAAAAAACTAAAAGGAAATTATAATGTCTGCATGCATGCAAGCCACCTTAGACTGGAACATCTGCATATGGGTCCCAATCAACTGAATGAAGATGAATGACTTTGAGACAGCATTGCACCATGAATGGAAAGCCAAGCCACTGTAGTGTAATGAAAGAAGGATAGGAGAGGACTCAGAAGACATGGGTTCAAATCCTTGCTCAGGCATGGCAACTCACTGAAGGGTGGCAGTGACAAAAACCTCATCTTAAATATCTCACATACTTTGAAAACCATAATAGAGTCACCATAAATCAGGTGCAACTTGATGGCACATAAGACACACACTGTTTGTTTGTTTGTTGGTGTACAACAAAGAAAAGAAACATAAATTATAAAATTGCTCTAAAATACTAGACCATTGCAAAAATAAAAATTTCAGGACACACAGTGCAACATTCCTCTCCTCCTTCCTCCAATGTTTCAATTAATTAGGAAGAAGCTCTTCAAAAGCTTCTTTTAACAACTCTTTTTCAAAGAGCTTTTCTAAGATGCAGAGGGAGAGTCCCTGCCACAACACCGCTGTTAAGAAAGCTCGGTTTCCAATTGACACTTTCAAGGCTGCTCAAGGTGTCAATACCTGCAGGCATGAAGTCTGTGAGGACCAAGTCAGATGGGCAACCAAACTAGGCAGAAGACATTCAGACAAGTAACAAGGTCTCAAATCATTCAAGTCTTTATACTATGTTAGAAACAGAACCTTGAACCTGGCACAGAAGTGGACTGATAACCAGTGCAGGTGAACCAGAGCCAGAGTGATATGATTGAACTTCCTCAGTCTGGCCACCACATTCTGGACCTCCTAATGCTTCAAGAAAATTTCCATATAGAGTGCATTACAGTAGTTAATTTTTGAGACTTCTAGGCTGAGCTGAGGCTGAAGACCAGGTTTGCCTGCATGGACTTTTTGCTGAGCAGTTTGTTTTTTCTGGTATTTCTTTTCTTCCCCCCCCCCACCGCATGGCCTCATATTCTCTGACCCTAATATGGTAAATAGGAAAGCCAATTAGCATTGCATACACCTGGGAGGCAGGAAAGTTTTAAAGGTCGGATCATCCTTCCGCACTATTAGAAAGCAGACCGGGTAGGTGGGGCTCGTCAGCCATGGAAGGCAGCCCATCTAGGAGAAGGAAAACTCCAATTTCAAACCTCCCCTGCCTTGTGGCTATATCCACTCATGGAAAAGTCTTCAGGAGTTAACCTAGAGGCAAAATCCAGAGCTAGAGTCCTGAAGGCAGTTCGTGTCGTTCTGCCGACTCCTGCGACGTTGCTGGAACCAGCTGTATTGGCTCTTGCTTTTCCCTTGGACCATTTCAGCAATGTGGAGAGGGGGGATTTGCTGCTTGGGTAACAGTCTATCCCCCCATTCTACTTTACCCAGGCTTCATGCTCTGGAGGGGACACTTCTCGATACAGAGCATGTTACCATAGTCTCTTGAGACTGAAAGATGCCTATGAGTGCATAGACCAATGTTGCTAGGGGCCTGTCACCTAGGTAGGGATGCAGCTGGGCAATTCACCAAAGTTGGAAAAAGGCAGCACACACCTCAGTGGAGACCTGTTTTAATTTAATCCTAACTGTGGATGTGGGGAAGTCCCAACTGTCTCGACATCCAAGTAAATGTTGCACAGATCCAGGCCAACCCATACTGTGCCCTTTTAGAGAACCTTCCCCCAAGTGCTAGTCTGGGTCCAGGACAGTGTTTGTGTAGTTCCATTTCTACATGAAGGTTCAGTTCCTGTTAATGAAGAAATATAAACAACAATGCCAGGCCATAGACTGAATGGTGCAGGCAGGACAGAAGGGCACTTATAAGGTCAGCAGTAGTTTCAGAGCTGGGTGCTGTATGATGATGATGATGATGATGATGATGATGACATCATTCCTGCCTGTCCATCACAGCAGCACAAGGGGGAGGAGCCAAGGATATGGCAGGAGGGGCGGAGTTAGAGAGACAGTAGGAGATGTGAAATGGCAGTTAGGGTTTAGGAGAGAGAAGGAGACGGTTAGTGATTTGAGCTGAGAGTGTTAGGAGAGGAAATTGAGATAAAAGATACTGAACAAGCAAGAATGAAGTTACTAGTACTACCAGAGAGATATTGATTGAAAGTACATAGTAGTTGGAATAAAAGTGATTGCATACATAATCCAATCCGTGTTAAAACCTGATACAGTTCTTAAGTGATCTTACGTGATTGACCTTTATGATTTACTTGACAATAAAATAATATTTGTTAATTAAACATCTGATTCCTAAGTTTAATAACCCCCAGTGTTGACAACACTCATGTATAACATAAGTTTTTTTTTAGGAGAATACCTGGTGGCAGCGTGAAGGAAAAAGGGTGTGATCCCTTGTGAGCACCAAATAAACAGAGGCAACAGGTTAGTAGGAATTCCACAGATGGGCCTTTTGGTATGAGAATTTATTTAGTGAACTGTCCCATTAAAATACCTTTCCATAGAAATCTATGGATATGGCTATTTCCTCTGGTTTGTGGAGTGATGGGGGAATAATACTTATGAAAATTAGGCTAATATAGATGTCCTATGGAAGAAACATGAAAAATTTCAGACAGGATTTTGGCCTACGTGTCTTGAAGCTGATCTGGTGTTTGTTTTTATTCCTTCCCTCCATCCCTTGTGATTACAGTTTTGTAATCAATTTGCATATTTAGGCCATAGAGGAGCCCCTCAGTCTACCCATAAATTTTTTGAAGGATGGGTGAAAGGATTAGAAACATTTTTAAGCATTTTGTTTTCTTTTCTCCTCAGCAGACTTGGCTAATCACAGAAATGTCATGTATTCCACCCATGATAGACCATGAAGTCTTCCTCAACACTGGGTTATATACTAAGAACAAACATGCAATTGTGTACCAGAAAAGTCTCCCATTTACAGTGTCTTCAAATCACTTTCCCTCCCTAATACAACTTCAAGCAGTGAGAGGTGCCCTTCTTACTCACTGTTTCAGAGTAGAAAGCCTCATCAGGCATTCTAAGCAGAGGGAGAAAAGGCTGCAGCATTGATAAATCTAGTTCTCTTCCCAATCCATTTATCTCAGTCTATCTACACAGGCTGGAACTTATTCGTTAACTCTGTCGTGATCTACAGAGAAGTATTTTTAGTGATCAGACACTGTGTCTACAGTATTAGAAGCTAGAACTCTTGGTTGCATCACTCAGTCAACTCCCATAGCAGCAGAGCTTTGTGGGAAGGTGTATCCATTTTTGAAGATATTAATATGGCTTTGGTTTTCTGTCACCCTGAATCACCACCTTCCTTTTTAGGAAGATCCAGATTTTCTTTTAGCAATTTGGGGAGCTCTTGCTTCATTTCAGATTAATCCTACACCAGCCTGAATCAGCCCAACACTGTTACTACCAAGTAACAGGTAAAAAGTCCTCTTCCTGACATTCTAGGTTTTCAGAAACAGGGGAAAAAAGAACATGCAAGCCACCACACAATGTGTTCCAAGCAGAATTTTAATGCATGAGCCTCTTGAATCCACAGATCATATATACTGTACTGCAAAAATCAGTTGTAACATGACACGTTGTCAGAAAGAATATTGTTTCACATAGAAGCCTTTTCTATCAAGATAGAGATCAATAACTTGAGAAAGTTTTCTTAAAATTGCGAAAAAAGAACACGTACATTACTACTTTGCATTATCTTTACATTGTTAATAAAGTTCAGTGTGTTTCTCTTTTTGACCTTACATGCACTCCGTAATACTCACCTACAAATGTAAGGAGGATCACCAACAAAAGAATAAGAGCACAAATGCATGGAATCAATATTAGCAACGAGAGTCGAATGTATTTGGTAGATGCCAGCTTCTGAGAACAACCATTCTCCATTTTATCTTCCTCTGCTATAGGGACCTGCAACAGAGGGACACATACAAACTAAATGTGGTTTTCTTGTATAACCTAAGAGAGGCACTATTTCAAAAAAGCCACAATGGAACAGAACAGAATGGAGATTCCAGAAGTTTTGGGGGCAATAAAAGGTTATGAAAGAGCAATATTCATTGGGGTTGGATCTAAAATGTTGGTTGGATGTTTCTTTCTTCAGCACCTCCCACTGTTTTTGGCATCAATTTTTATTAAGAAGTCCCCATTCCATTCTGACTTTTACCTAATCCCTAAAAAGATGTAATGATCTTAGCATTTTATTTTTCTTTAATGTTGTATTGAATACTCATATGTGTCTGCATACTGCCCCAGAATCCATTTTCTGGGTGACTTTGCAATAAATAAATCTTTAAAATAAGTAACAGCCATGAAATTAATAAAAATATACAGCATGACTCTAACAAAAACATGAGCCTTGGAAATGCTTTGAAATCTATGTTTCAATTTAATAGAGGAAAAATATTTTTAGGCAAACAAAAAACTAGTTGCATATTGGCTTTATCCAAGGGTTGGAATTTCTTTAGCAAAATATTTCTTTTTGGAAGTATTTAATACACATATTATATTGTTTTGGCAGGGAGGAGCCTGCATTTGGTTGTTTTTTTTCTAGGACTCAAGAACAAATGGTAATTCTTTTATAAGGTCATTTAGACAGTACAACTATTAATACCGGACTGTGTCTCTTTCCTGCAACCCTTCAGCTGAATGCATGGATCATTTACTCATTTTTTTAAACTGAGAAGAAGATTTGCCTGAAAGCAGGATTCTATAACAACAGATAAAAGATGGAAATTGGTAGGAAAAAAGCGCAGGTTTGCATACTACCAAAACAGTGGTCATCAGTTTTTAGAGGTGTTCCTTGCTGTATCAAGCTGTGTAATGTTTGACCAAACTATGTATCTGTCTTGTATCAAAGCCAATCATCTGTATATCCTATCAGCCAACATAGTGAAAAGAGTTTCCTTCCACTCTCAAAACCAATTTCTTTTGAAATCAGTTATTTTAGCTTACATCACCCCGGTGGAAGGCATATGTATCTCCTCCTTCCCTTACATTTCACCAAAACTGGGCATTTTCTACTAATCATCTCCTGATCTTGACCACGAGAGTAACAATTAAGAATTGAAGTCCAACTGAAAAAAAAAATGGTTTTACTGAAATTTGCTTTAGAAGTCTTATATAGCCTGTGGACAACTTTTTATCCATTATGGATTAATTTAATAAGAAGGAGTTCCATGAGTGCAACAAGAGTGTAAATACTGCTTGACATTAGTTAAAATACACTGGCCAGTGTCCCATTCAGTTTCCACTGAGTGCACAGCTGTGTCAGCATAGTAATACTGTACAGGATTACACTGCTTGCACAAGCATTGTTGTCATTGAAAAGAGGACAAGTTTTCTTCATTCTGATCGTTGCTTATGCATGTCCCTGTGCTACTATACTAGTGAGACTTTCTGCTCAGTAGAAGTTTTTTTTTAGCATAGCCCATTATTTCTTAATGCACTCAGAGCCAAACTGACATTCTAAAATGTGAAGAGAAGAAAAAAGTCACATTAGGTAAAAAGGGATTGTATGTTCAAGAATCATTCTAAGCAATAGAGAGAGCCTGTAGAATCCCTATGGTCAGATTAATTAATGCATGCTAAACCAATGAAAGGATGATGTCTAAATTTTGTTGGAAATTTAACTGTTTTTGTTTGCTTGTCGTGATTAAACAGTAAATGAATGATGAACAGTTTTAAGAGATTTGTTGGGAAAACAGGAAGGAATAATTCAAGAATAAACACTGCTACTTTATTGAGAATTCTAGTGAATACTAATGTTTAGCAAACTGTTATTTTCTACAACTTCCAACATGGTTTAATAACTACTGTATAAACCATGAAAACCATTTTTGTTCTTGTTTGTTGTTCTTTTGTAAAACTAATTGCTTATGATAAATATACATTGTTCCTTCAAAACAGGATGCAACAGAATAAATAACGTTAAGTCTACATAAAGTTCCAATATATTCAGTTATATCACAAACAGATTATGTACCTATAAAGCACACCTAGTCCTCTGTCTTCATGATTTTAAGAAATTCTACAGCATATCATTTTTGCTATTAACTTGCATATTAAAGTCAATGTAAATAATATTTAGAGACAACTTTGGTCTGAATACAGTATAGTAAAAGTTCAAAGATCCAGAGTACAAAATTGAAAAACAATAAGGAACAAGTGCAATACATATGTAGAAGCAAATTCTTTTGAAAATTTTGCACGTGAGTATGTTTCTGTATTGCAGTATACATTCTGTTATGAACCGTTCAATACATATTACATTTGTACTACAGTGGGGTCTCGACTTACGAACTTAATCCGTATTGGAAAGTGGTTCGTAGGTCGAAAAGTTCGTATGTCGAATCTGCATTTCCCATAGGAATGCATTGAAAACCATTTAATCCATATCTGCTCTTTTCTGTCCATAGAAACTAATGGGAAGCTGCTATTCCGCCTTCTCCCACT